GACTGGCCTAGGGGAAAGTTTTTAATGGGGGTTTTAAAGTAATTTTAAATAAATTAGACCAATTATTAATATTTGTTTTTAATTATGTTTTAATCTGTAGTTTTGGGATTTGCATTTTTATCTGGTTGTTAGCCGCCCTGAGTCCGCAAGGAGAAGGGCGGGATATAAATATAAACAATAAATAAATAAATAAATAAAAGTCTATGCAGTTTTCTTGGAAACAATTTTGTAAACTGTTTGCTATTGCCATCTTCCTAAGAGAGAGTGGTTGACCCAGACTTATGCAGCTGGCTTTGTGACTAAGGCAGGCCTAGGATTCATGGCTTCCCAGGTTTTAACCTGGGGTCCTAAACCACTATCCCAAACTGGCTTTCCATTTAAATCAACATTTAAATGGAACTTAAAGTGAAGTACTTCATTTTTAAAAAGGGGCAAAGAACAAGGTTTTCAATCCATTTTGGAGCAACAGTTTGCTTAGCTGGCTAAAGACTGTCAAGAATTTCAGTTTTAACTTAAAAAGAAACAGCTGCCAGGCGTAATCACTGAATAAGCTAATGCACAAGTTATTTAGATATAATCCAGATCAGGACTATGATAAAAATGCAAACCATACTCACTGTGGAATGTTTCCAATAACGGACAATTCCTTGAATGTCTGAAGCAGGATTAAAGAGAAAATGATCGCGCCATTCATTCCAGTCCACTGACATTGTCCCATCGGCATCCATGCTAAAAAGTCAACGTGAAATAACCAGAAGTTTACAATGGATTGTGCTATTTTTTTACTTAATCATGTTCAAAGTACATTATACATGCGCATTCTAAACTCTTGTTCTGTTTGCCAATCTTTAATGTTAAATTAATGTGCAAGATGCTCCAATCTGGTATTTTATTTGGCTTCCAAAGGTTCTACAGAGCAGAACACTGTTTTTGATCCCCCTTATCACTCTAAGGAAAGTTTCCGATAAACGTGTACAAGATTTCATAGGCAAGAATTTCTTGTCATCTATAAATATTAGAAGAATGTTTCAAAAAGATGGGGGAGAGAAAGAAAGAAAGAAAAGAAACATTTCTTTTTGCTTCTCATTAATATGAAAACTTGTTTTCAGAAAACTCTGTACAATGCTATCATGTTCCTGTTCGGTTTAAATAAGACTCTGAAGAGGAACATTTTTGTTGAACTGTATGCTAAAATCCGAATATATTGTTATTGCCACACGTTAGCAAGTATTACCAACCATGAATGTTCAATATGTAGGATGGGAAGGCTGAGTTAAACACAGTTCTTCTCGCTTAGATTTGATTTACATAATGATTATGCTATATGAAATAGTCACTGTTGCTTGTAAATATGTTTTTGATTTAATATTAAACATATTTACAAGCAACAAGATATTTACAAGCAACATGTTAATATCTTGGGTGAAAATAGCCAGATAGTGATTATCTGGTTTACTGTGATTCAAATAAATCTTCTCCAAACTTGGTATATATAGGATGTTTAAATCATCTTTGAATTCCACACCTGGAATTCATGGACGTATAAATGGACACATCCATTCATTTTCTTGGAAACAGGTGGAAAAGGCCTCCCAGCCAGACTAAGAGATAATTTACAAAATTATCCACAATCATGGGATAATTCTGTAAATATTGCCTCTCACCCACCCTTCCTTTTACCTTAAGCTAAGGAAGAGGATTGTGTCTCACAGATCTAAAGATAAAGGGGTTGTATCTCAGATACCAGGAATACCTCCAAGATTGTTTCAAGCTTGTCAACCTGTCCCACAAGTTTTCTCAAGAAATCCTGGTCCATCCTTGGCTCCTTCCTCAAAGCAATGTCATTACTAATATAATAATTCAAAACCATCCTACTACAATGGAGTACAGTACTGAACACATCCAGCTTGTGATTTTATTTTTCAAGAGACATGCCTTCTCATGAGTCACTCCCAAAATCCAGGCATAATAATAGCTGCTGACCTTTGCAGAATCCTGCCTGCCTGCTTTTCAGAAATATCTATGCCCAGTATCTTCAGGGAGTGAACTATCTCTGAGGCTTCAA